CATGGGCTTGTTGGGTTCTATCGTCGATTTGTGCCCAATTTCAGCACCATTTCCGCACCATTGACATCCATCATCAACAAGAACGTGACGTTCTATTTGGGAGAGGAGCATACCAGAGCATTCGAGCTGCTCAAGCACAAGCTCACACACACACCTGTCCTGATGTTGCCGGATTTCAATAAGACATTCGAGGTGGAGTGTGATGCTTCTGGTACATGCTCGATGGGTTCAGTTTATTGAATCCTTTCCGTACGTGATCAAGTACAAGCAGGGCAAGGAGAACGTAGTTGCTGATGCCCTATCTCAAAGGCATTCATTGATCACGACAATGGGGGTGAAGTATTTGGGTTTCGAGCATATCAAGGAGCTCTATTCTGTTGATGCTGACTTTGGGGAGATCTATAGAGCTTGTGAGCAGCATGGCGATGGGAAGTTCTATCGAAGTGATGGCTACTTGTTTCGAGCTAACCGGTTGTGTATTCCTCGATCATCACTTCGAGAGTTGCTGTTAAAAGAGGCTCATGGAGGAAGCTTAATGGCACATTTCGGTGTAGACAAGACGCTAAGTTATCTACAGGAGCACTTCTATTTGCTGCACATGAAGGAAGACGTGGAGAATCTGTGTGTGAGGTGCGTGGAGTGCAAGCAGGCCAAGTCGAAGGTGCAATCATTTGGATTGTACACACCGCTACCGATTCCATATGCTCTATGGATCAACATCTCTATGGATTTCGTGCTTGGTTTGCCGCAGACAAGGAAGGGAAGAGATTCGATTTTTTTGGTGGTGGATGGGTTCTCGAAGATGGCACACTTTATGCCGTGTCATAAGACGGATGATGCTATTAACGTGGCTGATTTATTTTTCAGGGAAGTGGTGCGATTACATGGGATGCCGCGTTCTATAGTATCCGATCGAGATACTAAGTTTCTGAGTTCCTTTTGGAAGATGTTGTGGAGCAAACTGGGGATAAAGCTGCTGTTCTCTACCACATGTCATCCTCAAACCGATGGGCAAACAGAGGTTGTCAATCGAACTCTGTCCCAGATGCTGCGAGCTGTGATCAAGAGCAACATCAAGGTTTGGGAGGACTGCCTTCCCCACGTGGAGTTTGCTTACAACAGGATGGTGCACTCAACGACGAAGTTCACTCCGTTTGAGCTCGTGTATGGTTTCAATCCACTCGCTCCTTTGGATTTGATGCCATTACCTTTGAATGAGCAGGTCAATCTCGATGGAGCCAAGAAAGCTGAGTTCGTGAAGAGTTTACATGAGAAGGCGAAATTGAACATTGAGAGAAGGACGAAGCAGATCATGCGCAATGTGAACAAAAACAGGAAATTGATGCACTTTGAAGTTAGCGACTGGGTGTGGGTGCATTTGAGGAAGGAGAGGTTTCCCCAGCAGAGGAAATCAAAGTTGATGCCCCGATGTGATGGTCCTTTCCAGGTGGTTTCGAAGATTGGAAGCAACGCCATAAGATTGACTTGCCGGGAGAGTATGGAGTAAGTGCAACGTTTAATGTTTTTGACCTTGCACCTTATTTGGATGGCAATTCGGATTTGAGGGCAAATCCTTTTGAAGAAGGAGGGGCTGATGAGGACATCAATGGGCCAGTCACACGTGCTAAGGCAAGGACGTTGAAGGAGAAGCTTGCGACATATTTGAAGAGCTACTTCGGAGCCATGGACGTGGAGCTATTTCGAGGGAAGCCATATATGATGATTCGAGTGGAGGAAGAAGGAGGAAGTGCTGAAGAGAAGGCAGATTGTAAGAAGCAGCCTTAACGGGTTTGCTTAACGGGTCCAGTTCCGGGTTTCCTTGTTTTAAAGTCGGTTTATGATTGTTTTCCCATGTTGAAGTCGGATTTGGGTTGTACTTTGCCTATTTAAAGGGCTGAACACGTTGGTTTGCCCTTAGACGATTATTATTGAATTTCAGAGGCTATTGCCGAGTTCCCTACGCGGAATTTGCCCTAATTACTCTGTCGAGAATCTCCAGAGTGCTAGAGCGACTCTTATCAGCTAGGTATTCACCCTGGTTGTGGCGAGCTACCCATATCGATTGCCCTTTATTCCGATTTGAATCTATCCGATCGATTCATATATCGATAGCCCTTATTCACGGGTGAGTACTGTCCGATCGATTTCCATCCTATCCGGTTCTGTTTGGTTCGAGAAGCTTGACCCTGCGCAACTTTGATTATATCAATATTTCTCATTATTTCGGTATATACCGATCCCAATCCCGTAATACTGAATACCAAATAGCACTCCAAAATGAATCACAATCGCAATTCCTAAAAAATAAGCCGGTATTCGGTAATACCAAATAGTGATAAATTCGATACGATATTCGGAATATCCCAAATACCGGTAACAAACTTCCAGCCCTTTCACGTGTTAAAGCAAGAGTCGTAGTTTGAATAGTAAGGCAATGTACCACATTGAATTTTTTTAGAATAAAGGGCTAGGGAGTTAGTAATATTATTTCTTTGGGTTAATATATTTGTATGGCCTGAACTTTTCACATAATAAACATCCTGGTCAATCTTTTCGATCTATAACATCATGGCCTGAACTATACACCCAAGTAACGAAATTAGTCAAACCCGAAAATTGATCGTTATCTTGGACGTTTAAACATTAGTCAATGCGCCATGTCAGCACCTGTCACTTAAAAAAGTTTATATTTTCCACCTATTACTATTTATTTTTGTCATTTTGAATAAAAAAATTGAAAAATTAAAAAATGGCATGGACAAGAATTTTCATTTTCATTTTTCAAATTTTTTTGATTCAAAATGAAAAAAATAAATAGTAATAGGTGGAAAATATAACTTTTTAAGTGAAAGGTGCCGACGTGGCGCGTTGACCGTTAGTCAACACATTTGACCATCCAAGATAATGGTTAATTTTCAGATTTGGCCAATTTCATTACTTTGGTGTATAGTTCAGACTATGATGTTATAAATCGAAAAAATTGACCAGGATGTTTATTATATGAAAAGTTCAGGTCATACAAATATATTAACCCTATTTCTTTTACGTTGAGTTGGGTTTAGAATAAGTTTGATTTGGGTAGACCCATAAAATTGATCTTCTAAATCCGAAAATACCCTCAAAACCTTTATTTGAGACACTCTTTTACAGTTTTACGTATTAAAAAAATAAAAATAAAATACAATTGAGTATATATATATATATATATTGATGTTAGACTGTTAGTGGTTTTGTTTTCTTCCCCTTTGTTACCATAATAATTATACTAGCGTGGGCCCCGGTCATTTGGCCGGACGAAGATGAGGTATGAAATTTGATAATGTAATGGGATGTATAGTTTATTGTTGTATAGTTTTTTTTTGGGAAACACGTGATAAAAATAGTGAATTTTAGTAGAAAAGAGACATGAATGATGCAACGAATCAAAAATCAGCCTTATGAACCAAAATCAAGTACATGTTACCTTGTGAAACAATATTGTTTCTGGTAATATGATGAGGTGGAGTAAGTTTTATAGAAACCGAATTCCAGAAAATCGAATAAAAAATCGCATATCCCGCCGATTTTCGGGAAATGAGCATCTCATAATCGTTGCTAGCTTTTACTCGGCCCGTTGGCCGATTAATTTGCTTTATAAAACTTTCATCTTCTCATCATTGTGCTTTCTGGTTTTTTGCCAAGCCATGATAAAATCTAAAGAAATCAAGAATGAACAGCACGATTTGGGATAGGAACCACCGTTCCTGTATCCCTAGAAAATGGTGGTAAACACGGACTCACCTGCCAAACTGGTTTGGATTGAGATTTTTATAGGGTATCAGAGAACCATGTGATTATAAATTAGACTTGATCAAAATGGACCAAAACTTGAAATTCAGCTTGTTTGACCGACCCATGCCAAACTCTAATTATTCTTTACTTTTAAACTTTATATTTGAAAATAAAAATAATGAAAGAAAAGAGATGACTGCAATTCACCATTTGCACATCACTGATTCGGGAATAAAACTATAGAATTTCGAAAGGAAACTGAAAATGTTTAGGATCGTTTTAATGTTAAAAATAACCAAATAGATCTTTCTGTTTAGTTTTTTTACTAACAAATACCAAACGATTCCCTATAATATACACTATAATTTAATCATTATGATATCAAATAATTACATAATATATATTTGAAATGATAAAAATTGGAGTAATTGAGTTGGTCGAAGTTGAACCATTGAATAACTTTAAAATACATTATATTTTAGCCACTAAGATATAAAATAATAGCATAGTATATATTATGCTAGAGAAAATATCTTGTTTTAGAATGACAAACCCATGATGTTCATTTGTTTTACTTGATGGGCAAATCCCATGTAGGTCAGACCCGTTCAACTCTTTTATTTTATGATTAGCGGTTAGCCCATTAGAATCCATGCATTAGTTTATTGTTAATTTTTTTCTTTTTAGCAATAAAAAGGAGTATTGTTTTTGCCTTTTCATATATATATTTTACCACCATGGAGAAATAAAAGGACTTAAAGAAAAAAATTGACACTCCTGGACCCGTTTAAATCCGCATGTGTACGGTAAGTTGGCCCGTTCCACAGAGGAAAAAGAAAAAAATTGACACTCCATATTCTACTCTTCCTACAAACGCTCCTGGAGCATGGAATTTTAAATGGGGGAAGAGTTTTTTCCTCTCTGCAATTATATGTTTTTAATTTAAAAAGATACAACAAATATACTTAGTGTGATTGGTTATGATCTTTGTTTTTCTTTAAAATGGTCATGGTTCGAATCCTAGTAAGTGTCATTTTTAATGAATAAAAAAAAGTAATTGTGAAGACCAAAATGTCCTTCCTACTTTCACTCTGGATGCAGGAAATTTGAAATGGAGCTTCAAGTTTTCTCATTTGGCTTTTATTTATTGTGTAGATTAATCAAAACGGGCCCGTGGCTGCTATAAATAGCGCATCCATGAGCCCTGAAACTCGATCCCAAGGCTCTCACCCAACCCAACCCATCCACCTCTCTCTCTCTCTCGAACTACACTCTCTCCACCCCCATAACACAACAAAACAAAACAAAACAAACACTATGCCGTCGAAACTAGCCGATGCTTTCAGATCCCACCCAGTAGACATCCAACCAAAAAACCTCCACGACTTAAAAGAGCTCCCGGACTCCTACCGATGGTCCGCCGACCAGGACCGACCAGAACCCGAACCGGTCCATCACGAACCGGTGCCCGTGATCGACCTCTCGGGCCCGAACGCGCTGGAGGAAATCGGCCATGCATGCACAACGTGGGGAGTGTTTCAAGTCGTCAACCACGGAGTCCCCGCCGCCGTCCTCGACCGGATGGAGGACGTCGCCAAGAGTTTCTTCAGCCTGCCGGCTCACCAGAAGCTCAAGGCGGCCCGGTCACCCGACGGGATCTCCGGCTACGGCTTGGCCCGGATCTCCTCTTTTTTCCCAAAGCTCATGTGGTCGGAAGGCTTCACCATGGTTGGCTCCCCGTTGGAGCATTTCCACACAATTTGGCCTCATCATTACACCCGATTCTGGTACGTATATTACCGCCCCATTTTCTAAATTATTTTTTCCTCCTTTTCAACTCCTTGTTTTTTTTTTGGTTCTGTATTTACCATGGTGAAAATTATTTTTTCCTCTTTTCTACAAGGGTTAGTTTTCTTCATCATATAACAACATCGAGTTTGAGAGCATCTCTCTTTATGGAGTGAAGTCACATATTGAACGAAACTTACAGTAGTCTCGTACTTAATCAAGAATATAATTTCAATATGTAAATACGATGAAATTTATCGTAACGAATTTAGCGATTGAATCTATTTTCCCATATTTATCTGTCTTCTCGATGGAAACCTTTTTTCCTCGTTTTGTTGTTTTATGTGGAAACAAACAAAAATTACTTTATGGCACACCGAATGAAAGGAACAACTTTGTTTTAGTTTGCTTAGTAGCAAGGATCGATGATACCAATTGATTAATAATTGTGGTTCGATTATATATATAAATGTACATACATAAGCGGACAAGATTTAGGATTAGTGACAGCGTTGGCCCGGATTCAAGAAACTAAAGGCATTTTTACTACGTTCGGAGTTTAACTCTTATTCCCATCTTGTTGGCCTGCCCACTTGCATTATATTTATTTGTGTTTTTTTTTTTCCTTCTTGTGTCATATAGTGACAGCGTAGAAGAGTACGAGAAACAAATGCAAAATCTGGCACAAACGTTGATGTGGCTAATGCTTGGTTCCCTTGGGATTACAAAGGAAGACTTGAATTGGGCTAATAATAACAGCAATAGCACCACCACCACCCCAAGAGGTGGACCAAAGGAAGAGGCTGCTGGCTCCACCTCGGCCGCGATCCAACTGAACCACTACCCGGCATGCCCCGACCCAGACCGAGCCATGGGTCTCGCCCCACACACAGACTCCACCCTCGTCACCATCCTCCACCAGAGCAACACCAGCGGGTTGCAGGTGCTGAGGGCCGGCGGAGGGACTGGAGGATGGGTCACGGTCCCTCCGATTCGAGGCGGGCTGGTCGTGCACGTCGGCGACCTGCTCCACATACTGACCAACGGGTTGTGCCCGAGCGTGGTCCATCGGGCCGTGGTTAACCGGGACCGGAACCGGATATCGATTGCCTACCTTCATGGCCCACCTTCGAATGTGAGAATCTCGCCCGTGCAAAAACTTGTGGGGCCAAGTCAACCTCAAATGTATAGGGCAGTGACTTGGAGCGAGTACCTAGGCACCAAGGCCAAGCACTTCGACAAGGCTCTTTCTTCGGTTAGGTTGTGTGCTGCTGCTGAGGCAAAAGATCACAACAACAACAATAATAATAATAATAATGAAGTGCAAGTTGGCTAAGCCCAGCTGCCTAGTAGCTACACAGCACAACTTTCCATTCCATTAGCAAAAATCAAATTTTGTCCTCTCCTTCGTTTTCCCCTTTGTCTCCTTTATTATTATTTTTAGTTTTTTCGCTTTAATTTTGGCTCTTTATTGGATTGGTTTTTTTGTAAGCATATGAGTTATGTTATGACATGTACAGTTCTCCCCTTTTTCATCCTAAATTTGAATTTAACTGTCCAAATGTTTAATTTAAGAATTCTTATGTTGGACTCAATGACTCGAATTATTATAATTTGGATGCTGATATAAAGAGGAGGTTATTGTGAGATTACTTTGGTTGCTTGAAATGCAACAAAGGCAATGATTATTTCATTTTTAGTGAGGTGAATGAAATTTTCTCATTAAATATCAGCAACCAAAGTTTTTGTAGGATATGTAATTGCTTTAATTATATCTGCGTACCAAATAAATTCCTATAAGCAGTAACATGTGTCAATTTTGTAGAAAATTTTATTTATTGGCATATCAGTCTAATCAAAATAACTCAATTCTAAAAGATCAATTAAAATAACTCAATTCTAGATCTACTGATCCAACAAAATCTAATTTTGGATGACTAAGTTAAACAGTCAAATATATTTTTGCTGTCATCGTGTCATACGTCTCATCACCATCACTTCATGTATGAAAATTTTGCAAATAAATACAAAGGGATCATTGTACAACTATTCAACATTTTCAAACTAAATGGGATCAATAAGTTAAGCGCGCGCACCCAGTCATCTTGTGCGTAAGATCATTCTAATACAGAGACAACAACTATATACACTCACTTGCTCACTATATATGTGCACACTAGTCACGCAACCTGATTAATTTGAATAATTATTGTTCATAAATTTGCATGTTAACTCGTTTGACAGCAGTTTACTAAAAGGTATCGTTTAGATAGAGTATTTGTGTGGGTTATTTGTGAGTTATTTGGGCACAAATAACTCGTTTGGCAACATTTTGTTGAAATGGGTTATTTGGACAGTGAGTTATCTACAAATAACTCAAAACGAGTTATTTGAAATAACTCATATCCCTGTGTTATTTTGAAATAACTTTTTTTATCACTATGTTTTTCCCAAATACTACATGTCGAATACCACATTTGCATGGTTCTACGAAACGAAATACTTTAACCCAATTAGCACTGAAATAACATTGAAATACCACATGACCAATGAATGAGTTATTTACAAATACCATTTGACTAATTAACTAGTTATTTGGACAGTGAGTTATTTACAACTAACTCAAAAATGAATTATTTGAAATAACTCATACCCCTTGTTATATCGAAATAACTAGTTTTACCACTCTATTTTTTCCAAATACCATATGTCAAATACTATATTTACATTATTCTACCAAACGAGATACTGTAATTATCTAATTACCACGAAAATAACACTAAAATAGCACATGAACAATTAATGAGTTATTTGACTATGTTGTGGTTACTTAAACCGTGTTAGTATTGGGCCTTGTTGGGCCTTGTCTTATTTGTTGGATTAGGATTTTAACCCTAAGTCTTTCTCTATATAAGCTTAGCTACGAGATTGTCGTAAACAAGCCGTCAAGATGTAATCCTAATAAGAGATCAGTCGTGAGCTCTTATGAGCTCACCGTGGATTAGTCTCGATCAATCGATCGAGGATACCACATAAAAATCCCGTGTCTTTTATGTTATTTCAATTCTGCATCATCAAATTCTACAGACTATATATACAAATACACCATTGACAATTGAAAAGTAAATACGGAAATTTGTAACATGCTTTAGTATTTAGGAAGCGATGGAAATTATGGCAAATCATATTGCTTAGAAGAGTATTGAAATTTTCTTATCTGGCAAGGGTACAAACAACAATACACTGTATGCATTAATTTTTTTTTTTTTAAAGTATACATTAACTAAATGGATAACGAGTGGAGTTTCGTATATAAGATACTTTATAACTTGTCGATTTCTATCCAATGAGATATAAAAGAGATAAGTAGGAGGCAGCTGGTATCCTGATCCTCCATTCAACCTCATCAACTAGGGCCGTAGCTGTCTGAGCAGAGAGAGCAGAGAGAGAAGATGAAGGAGAAGACGGCAGAAGCAACATAAAATTAATTTGCCCCGGATATGAAGGGAGGGAGGATCCTCTTCTATTCTATCCGACGAACAAGACAGTAAACCATCAAAATGAATATATGGTGGTGGTGAATAAAAACAACAACAAGAAAAGATAGACGGATAGGGCCACCAACAAAGACAGACAATGATCCAGAGATGAGACTATAGATCCCATACAGATCCATAGTTATTAGGATATTAATAATAATAACAATAATTATTATAAAACACATTTTCTTGGTTACACAAATGCTTCAAGGTAGGAATAGGATTGATCGAAAAGTCACAAATGCTCCATAAGGAATTCTATGAAGACGAATTATCATTCATTCAACTAGAGACGTCTGAGATTGCAAAAGGAAACGTACACTTAGAATAACGGTGCTCTAATGACTAACTAGAGACGCCTAAATTCGCAAGTTGATTAAGCGGTTGCACATTTTACCGTTTGATACTCCAAATTTAATTAAATTACAACTAGTCATTATAATGTACATTTTACATTTTCATACCCCAAATTTAATTTTAATGTAAAATCATTGAACAATTATGTATTTTATACGAGCATGGAACCTCTGTACCGGTAGTTATCAAAGTAACGCAGCAAAGAACAGGGATAAAACGATAGGGATATGATGGAATTGAAAGTGCAATCTCAACACGATATCGGGAGAAGGCTCAATCAATATAGAAGGGTTGAATATCGACCACAATCAAGGGGAAAACTTGATTGATACAAAGAAAAGATCAAGCCTCAGGCTCAAAATCAAGGTAAAAAACAATATTCTCCTAAAAACTAACCCTAAACCCCAAATCTCAACCTTTGTATAGGTCTGGACAATTAAAAAATAAGAAAAATAAGAAAACCCGAAATTTGGAGTAAAACCAGTCCCGATCTCACGCCCCGATCTCACGGCCGTGAGATTAACTGTCTTCAGAACACCCGCTTCACTGATCTCACGGGCAGAAGTCCCGGCCATGAGACATGGCCGGGTATTTGGCCTGAAATAGCCCCAACACCAATGATCATCACTTCTCATCCCACGAACAAGTCGGCTTCCATTATTGGTGAAGTTCTAGGCTAAATAAGTTTGAAGTCGCCCCTTGAATGCCTTCTCCTTGCCTTCTTGTCTTCGTTTTTGCCCCTGTTGGAGCCGCCATTGGGCTCGCATCAGTTTTGATATCTAAATTTTATGAGCTTTTTGTACCTACTATTTTCTTAGATTTATATATTGGTCCAATGTTTAGATTTCACTTGAATCCATGAATCCAATCCACCAATCCTTTTTGAATCAATCCATGAATCCAATCCACCATAACAAAAAAAAAATAGTTTGTACCAAATTAAACAAGATGTTGTATCACTCGACTGTAGGAGAAGATTTGACCATTTTATAGTTGCTCATTATGTGAAACATTAAATAAATGATAAAACAGAGACGACTCTAAAATATTGAAAGAGTGATTTTATAAACTCATTTAATACATTTACGGGGTACTAAACAAACTTCTACTAACTACATGTAACAAAATAGGCGACATCTACATAAGCAAGTGTCAATAAATTGCTACGGTGAGTATGAACGAGTCTAATCACAAGTATGAACGGGTATGTATTCTAAGCACAAGTATGAACGGGTCCATACACGACTTACCAACAGTTTAGAGAATTAATAATTGAACCATGAACCACTAACTTTTTCAGCTCATTGAAGAGTACAATTAAATATAAATATATATGGTTATTACTTATTATAAAGTAATCATTTTCCACTATGGGATTTGAAGGTGTGAAATTTTAAACGAGTTCCGGTTTGTATTCATTTTGCTTCTCCCTAAATTTTTTCTTTTTCCCCCGAGCTAGAATTTTCAACAATTATACATGTAATATTTGGCTAGGTATCTACATATATCAAATAATAGTTTTCATTTTTCTATAAAAAAGTAAATAATTATCATCTTAAATACATCACCATAAAGGAATTAAGGCTCAGCTATACAAATTATAGTTTGGTACCTAAACTTAATAGATCTTTAGATTTATAGCCTAGATTTATTTTTTTGGCGCATAAGTCCTCAAAATATTGATGGAACATTACATTTTAGTATCTAAAATTTTTGTGTTTAACATTTTGGTTCCTAAATTTTTGAAGTTCTACAAATATGTCTTATTTTTGTATGTGTAATTAAACCACTTTCGAATAAATGGGTATACATACCCAAATCATACACATTTTGATTATGGAAGTAAATATTCATACCCTGCTCAAACCCATCTACAAACTTTCAAACTCATATATACGTCACTCATACCCTACCCATAATCAATGGGTCTACTTGGGTTTAGGTTAATATAATTTATTAGCCTAAAATTTCAAAAATATTTAAATTGGATGTTGACTGCTATATATATCTTCTCGGTCAATATCATATTTGTGAAGTCAATATTACTAACAAAACTACTAACAAAAAATTAATTCTTATACTAATAATACTAACAGAATGCAATACCGGGCCACATAATACATTATACATTGCCCATAGGCCATCTCCGCCACGCAACAAGGCGCGGCATCGCCGCCTAGTAGAGGTGGCAAATGGATTGGATTGGTGGACTGGTGGATTGGATTGGTGGATCCATGGATCAAATGGATTGGTGGATTCATGGATTGGATCAAGTGGATTGGTGGATTATCCATGAATCCAAATGACATCCTCAACCAAGGACCAATATGTAAAATGCAAAAAGTTTAGGTACTAAAATGTCACAATGAAAAATTTTAGGTACCAAAACGTAATTTTCCAATAACATTTTTCGTATAAAAAATTAAATTTTAGGTACCAAAATGTAAAAAATAAAAATTATAGGTACTAAACCGTAATTTGCCAATGATCCATGGATCCAATCCAATTGGATTTGGATCAAATGGATTGGATTAGGTGGATATTTTTAATGGATTGGATTGAAATTGTCACCTCTACCCCTAGTATATATATAAAAGTAACTTGCAACATATACTTTTCTACTTAAATCACTTCTCAT